ACTTTAGTCTGCTTTTTCAGCTATTTATATGAGTTCAGAAAGATGTCAAAGAAAAGGGCAAGAAGCAGTATTAAAAAAAGTGTGCGCATGAAGCACTTATTTTTGTACACTAGTACAATATTTGTATAGAGTTTTAACACTATGGAGTGTAGCAAAAAAAAAAAATAATCACACTTTCCATTTACTGGAGGACAATCGTGTATGTTTAAAGGGAATGAAGCGGAAATGGCATCTCAATCATCCGTTGCAAGCGAATTATAACCGGGATTAAATTCTGTGAAGCAAATCTGTAATTTTAGAGTAATCCGAGGACATTCACTGGACTTTGAAATATCATTAAAACTTTGTAAGCCAACCCACGTGCCTCTGGTCTTTCATAGCCCGAGTTCCAGCTCCGGGGTGGTCAATAAGAGCACACTCTGCTCCGTGGGGATCGATGGGAGGTCAGACAGGCAGGGTCACAAGCTGTTCAGCAGTGCCAGGGGTGTTTTCCACGTGCACCTTGGTGACACTCATCGAGCTTACACAGCAGAAAATCAGCAGTTTTACACCTCTGCACTTTTAAGTAAAAAAATCAAAGGGTTGGCGTTTTTTCCCATCACCTCTCTGGTCAATATTTATTTCTCTGTCAGCGCTGCAGGAATCGTTTTTGCTCTAAATTGATGACAGGGGTAATTGTTCCTTGCCTGATTCCCAGCAGAGATTTCTTGGGGTGAGATCAACAGTGAGGCAGCAACGTGCAAAAATAAAGGGGTAGGTGGGCTGATACCTGGGTTAGGACTGTGAGGGATTGGCCCCACCCCGAGGAGAGCCTGTTGCCAGGTCACCAATAGGTAAAATCAGCTAATTGAGGTCTTTTCAGGATGAGAAGCTGCTCCTTGGAACACCATCGTGGTTCAGCAGCTGAGAAACACCAATTCCTGCTTCCATACCTGGGACAAAGGATTCTGGGTTTGCACCTTCCCAGAGAGATCCTGAGCCCAAGAAATGGGAGGAAGGTCTGGTACCTTGCTCCTGAGAGCACACAGCCCTCAGAAAAAGGCCTCCCTAACCAAGCCAGAAGAGATTTTGCCAAAATAACTTGACATTGTTCTTACAGACTTACAAAGAGGTCAGCTGTACCCTGGGCTCCAGTGAGAACAGCAGCTCTGCCAGCTCCATTATTTTCCCTCATTAGCTTTTCCTGATGTCCTGCTTTCCTTTTCTTTGAAACCAGGGCAATGGCAGAGTTTGCTTTTGCACTGTAACATTTCTCCCCCCTCAGGAACTGAGATTCCCTCTTTGCTCAGCAGCAGCTGGATGATTGCTTTTGGAGAGCCAGAATGATTTTTCAAGGAATCTCAAACCCACAACCCAGCTTAAAAAAAAACCAACAACCATAATTTCCCTTTTGTAAAGATGTGGGTTCCCAGTGGAGAGCAAGACAGAGCCAAACCCCACATCCATCCTCCACCAACAAGCCTGAACATGTTTGAGGTGTAAGTGATGAGAAGATCAGTGGCCCAGAAAAATCAGCAGATGTCCTCATATTTGGCTGCTTGTAAAGCAAGAGGTACAAAAACTGCATTTTCCATCTCCCTTCTTCCAGCCAGCCCTTTCCTGGAGGTCTCTGCAGCACATCTGAGGTGGAAAGTGGGAATAAAACATGTCTGAGCATGTTTGGAGCTGGATAGACCCCGAAATGTCCCACATGGAAACTCTCTCTCATGTCCCACTGGAACCCCCTCCATGGGACAACATCTCCAGTGCCTTCCAAGGGGATTTGCTTTACCTTTGAGCTTGCATGGCTCCCTTTTCCCACTAGTCCAGCTAAACCTCTCAGAGGCCATCTCATGTCCCCATCATACACCTACCTGGATTTCTCTTTTTTAGGGGTGAAAAAAATACACCAACAAAACAACAAAAATCCACCTTGGAATGGTGACATCCCAGTCAGGGATCACAAATCTCTGCTGTTCACCAGCTGGGGGTCAAGCCTGGCCCTGGTGCTGCTGCTCTGATGGGATGCTCCTTCCTTTCTAGGGCTGGAAATTATTGTGTGTCCCCAAAACCTCAGTCTTGGCTAAAACTGCAACTCTCAGCTCCCTTTGTTAAGGGCCAAGGCAGAGCTCAGACATCCTCTCCCTCAGGGGTGCTTGGGGTGGGCTGCTCTCTCCCTGGACATGTCCTGCCACCTCCATGCCCAGAGACTCATCCTGGCCTGGCTCCAGCCATCCGCAGGAAACGGGGACCGTGCACATCCAGGTTTGGGGCTGGTTAAGAGACACACTGCAAGAGTGACATTCCTTGTTCCCCAGGCCCACCCCAGGCACTTGAAGCCCCAGTTATGAAGATGTTAAAAATCAGAGAGCTGCTGGTGGACCTGCAGAGAGGCTGCACACAAAAATCCACTGTGGGACGCATGGAAAAAGCATCAGACGGGATCAAACAAATCCCAAAGACTGCACCAGAGCCCGGAGGCAGCAGAGGATTCTCCCCCCTCCCTGCAGTGCCTCGGGTCAGATCCTAACTCGGGGTCTCTTCTGCAGCTCCAAATACCGTCGGTGAATTTGGAATTCGCGCTGTACAAACAGGACTTTGCACAGGAGGAAAGCGGTGGCACAGCCACGAACAAAGTTCCCCAAGCCCGCAGCAGTGTGTGTGTCCCACGACAACCGAAATAAAACAGGCGGAGCGTCGCCCACCTCCCGAGCTGGAGGCACAGACGGCTCCACACGGGAGGAGAGCAGCCCCGGGGAGGGACGAGCAGCTCTGATGAGGAGTGCTATATTTAACAGCTGGCGAGGTGCCCAAATTCCTGAAAACATTTCCTTCCAAAGCTTTGGATGTGTTCAGCGGGCGAGCTTGTTCTTGCGCAAAGCGGCACTGGCACCTAGTGGCCGCCGGATCCAAGCGCAGCATCCCAAAAAGTTTCGGTCTCCTGCCAACTTCAGGAGACAGCCAGGATGCTGTTAGAGAGCAAATAAAACCAAGAGCTTCTCTTGCCGTGGCGCTCGGAGCTGCTGAACTTTCTAGACACAAAAATTTAGGGAAAGTCGCAAAACCCCCTGCCCCCCGAACTTCAAAAACCTGTGCCCACTGCTGCCAGCCCAATAAACAAGCTGCTAGGAGGGGTCTCACAAAGCTGTCTGCTCTGGGGCACGGAGGGACTCTCCAGGCACCCTAATTCTGCCTCTCAACACCTCCTCTCCCATGAGAAACTCCAGCTTCTTAAAAACTCTCTTTTGGGGTCAGATGCTCACATTTTAGAGGGTTTAGATCATGTTTTAGATCTTATCCACGAGCTTTTTAACTGTGCAATTCAACTTGGCTTCATTAAACATGCTCAGTGCTACTGAAAGAGATCCACACTTAATGTCATGCAATAATAGATACAAAATTATCAGAAATAATAAAAAAAAAAAGATACCACAGTGGAAAAAAAAAGGAAACACCATTTCCTTTTTCCCGGTGTATTTCTTTTAGGAAAGACAGAGCACTCCTGTGCAATTCACTGTGGCTTATGCAGTGTGAGAGAAACAGCAAGTGAAGAGACAGATTGTTATCCCAGACCATTTCCAGCCCAAAAAGCAGCTCCTGTGTTTCATACAGGTGCTCTGACCCTCTCTGAAGGGGCTGTGATCCCACACAGTCCCACCTGGAAACATGAGCAAAGTGGGACAAACTTTGCAATGAACTTTCTGGATCATTTTACACCACGAGTGTTTCTGCCCTGAGCAAACTGATCCCACGGCACAGCAGCATCCCCTGCTCCTCCCTGCATCCCACAGTGCTGCCCACAGAGGGATTTTGCCAAGGAAAGCAGGGCAGGAGGGCTGGCTGGGCGAGTTACTGGGAAAGGACATCGGGAGCATCCTCAGGGATTGGATTCCCAGCGATGTTCTTTCAAAGCTCTCTCTTTTCCTGGCTCAATATTGCCAGTGCTTTGAGCTCCTCCGGGTGGGGATCTCTGAGACTGATTGCAGCTGGTTTAAAATGAATAATTCATCCTCTCCCACTGATGTTAAAGAGAGGCAAAATTATCTGATTGATGATTCTCTGAAGGATTAAAGAGATTGCATACAAAATTGGTACACATTATTGGAGCTTATTAAACATTTACTGTCAGGCCCTAGAAGAATCCCAAATCCAGATCTGAAAGGTGTGTTTTCTCTGGCACATGTAAACATCCTTAATTTTGATCTTTTTGATGTGTCTCAAAGTGATATTTAGAGGGTAAAATGCCATCTGCTGCCCTTTGCTGTGGCTGGAGGGCTGGGCAGGAGCTTAACACAAGAAGAGTGGACAAAGTCAGCCCCAAAGTCTCTCTCACCCAGCATCTGGGCTGTGCCACAGATGTGTGAGGTCTTCAGGTCATAAAATCAGCACAAACATAGGCAGTCCTTCCAGACACTCAGTGGCCTCCAGCCCATCTGTAGTTTCCTGGGTCACTGAGAGCTTTCTGAGGGGATTCTCCTCCAAAAGCTCGCCCAGCAAGCTGAAATTACAGAACCCACACGTGGTGGGCAGCACTGAGCCCACCTGGCACACCAAAAGTGACACTGGTGAAAGAGAATAACACAGTCCAGAAGGAAAGAAAAAATGCCAACTGCTTCAAACTCTGTGAGTGACTGACCTTCCTCTCCTTGCTTGAGGCCTCGGAGGTGGGAGCCCCCACAGCCACTCCCAGCAGGCACCTCTGAAACTGGAACCCCTGATTTGTGGAGAGCTGTGGGCAATTCTCTTCACATGGTGCTGTTGTAATCCTCCAAAGGGTCAAATGAAATGATATTCCAGCCTTCCTGATGAATATCTATCCTATTTAACCCTTTGTCATCCTAAGAGGTCAGCTTTGCACTTCAAGCACGCTTGAGGAATCTTCCCTCAATTCAGCAGCTCTGTTCAGTTTTATGGACTGGGCTCAATTTTATGGACTATTTTATGGCCTGGATTAGCTCCCAGTATGCACTAATTCCCTCAGAGAGATCCTATTCACCATCAATATGAGCTTGTTCAATGACTGAAGAAAAAGTTACATCTTTTATTACAATAGGAATCAACTGCAATGAGATCTGGCCAGGACAGGAACTGCTTGAATGAGAACACACAAGGAGACTGAACTGCAGCTAAAAGCCAAAACTTTGCAGGAAGCTGAGCTTTGCAAAGCAAAGGACGACCAGCAGCACTCAAGGGACAGCAGTGATGTACAGAGCCACGTGTGCCACAAAAAAAACCCTTCCAGAACATCACAAAATCACACAATATCCTGAGCTTGAAGGGACCCACGAGGATCATCCAAGTCCAACTCCTGGCCCTGCACAGAACCCCCCAGATATCAAACCTACTGCTCAAGGGAAACAATTCCTTTAATGGCTGAGATCACCTATGGAGTTGTGATTTCAAAGGCTGAGGAGGAGCCTTCAAAGGGAACAGTGATGGTGCGGGTGAGGAACACTCTCTTTTTGTAGTGCCCGAAGTAGCGGATCCGGTACGTTCCCGGCTCTGTGCCACCAGGGATGTGCCACTCGATGGTCACATTGCTCTGACTCAGGGATCCTTTGGTCCAGTAAAACCTGGCAAACAAGCCAAAAACCTACAGTCAGCAGGAAAACCCACTTTTCACTTGTTCCAGTGTCCCAAGAGCTCACTAAGCGGAATGAGGCAAAAGCACTCCAGTGAAGTACATTTTAAGAGCTTCTTTTGACCTTTCCTCGTATATTTAGGCTACCAGAGCAGCAGCCAATAAGCCAAGCCAAAACCCAGCAGGGCTGAAAAATAGCTGGAAACATGGGAATACAAGTCAGGGGTCCTTTTTGTAGATGAAGAGTATTTCTACCCCTGTGTTCTTCCATTTCCAACTCCACATCACAACCCCGTACAACATCACCCCGTGAGCAACATCCACCAGCTCAGTCCTCCCTGTGCAGGGGGAATGCTGAGCAAAGAGGAGGAGTATTCACTACAAGTGAGATAAGCACCCTCATTTCAGGACCTTAATTAAAGGAAGGGGTTGAACAAAACACCTTGAATAAATTTTTTTTCTCATACCAGTCTTACTGAGATTGAAATAAATATTTACAGACATGACTGGATGAAAAACTGACTTTTGGTGCAGCTCTGAAAGGTGACCCCACCTTTTTTGCTTAATGGATGTTTTCCCTGAGGACTGACATCCCTAACCTCAACTTTTCTTTCTTGTAAACTTCTAAAATTGTTGTCTGTATCTCCTCTGTGATGTACAACAAACCCAGACAGCTGTTCCCCATGAAAATCCTCTGAGTCTCTCCTATTTTCTATTTGGCATCCTATTCATCCACATGGTGTGACAGATGGATGGATGTAGGCTATGAACAAGCTGGACCCCAAACCTCCTGTAAATCTTGCCCTTCCTTCTACATTTCCCAAACTTCTAAGCCTTCATTGCAGATGCCAGAGCCAAGGGGAACACCAGTTTTTGTGGTCTTGACAAGTTAACCACCCAAACATGGACTGATCCATCCCCAGAAAGCACCATCTGCAGGGTCAGGACTCTGAAATCAGGGAGCTCTGAAATTAAGGCTAAATTTAAATTACTCCCTGGAGTCTGTGGAACAGTGAAATCTGCTCAGGGCACCCACCTGGTGTCCCAGGAGGCGTCGTTCTGCACCACCTGCCAGGTGCCTGAAGTGTTGCTGTGCCTCTCCACCGTCAGGAAGTTGTGTTCAGTCTGGAATAAAAATAGCAGAGTCAGTCAGACGCTGAAGGTACAGGCATGTCCCCACCTCCTGTGTCACTTTAAAGTGGAGAAGGGCCTGTGCTTCCCCCTGCTTCTGTTTCACTGCCAAATCCCACATTAGCTAATAAATGATGCAAAGAACTTATCATTAAAAAGAGAATGGGCAGGTGAGGTGTTTGCTGTCAGTGTCTATGCAAGAGGATTGATGGGACAAATTAAGTACTTTTCTAATTTTCTTTGTTTTATTAAAATAATGCACCAAGCTGAGAGGATGGAGACTAAAGACCATGTTTGTTATGCCTGGATGGCACTGGATGGCACTGGATGGCACTGAGGGTGTCTGGCCCAACACACGACGGGGTTGACTTTGACTTCAGCAGTGTGAAGAGTTCATGAACAGCCCAGCGTGGCCAAATTCAGTTCTCTGCCCCAAAAGCACTCAGTTGGTGGGAATTCCCGAAGCACACACCTTCTTCTGAACCCCCAGCAAAGGGAAGAGCACTAACTAAACATTCACTGATCCCAAACATCCCCAATTCCAGCGTGGCTGCGTCGTATTTACCGCGTTCTCCGCGGAGTTCCGGGGGTTTGCTCCCACAAAAGTCACTTCAGCAACTTCTCCCTGTGGAGGGGAATTCAGATTTGTGTTATTTGTACTGTCACACTGCACATTAAGATCATCCTTTGAAGATGCCATTTGAGGTTTTTAGGGCTTTGGGGTTTTTTTTGTGCTATTTTGGTGTGTTTGGTTTGTTGTTGTCTGAAGTTATTTATAATTTCACTTGTTGCAACAGCAATGGACAATTTATGCTTTGAACTGGTATCCTGTGCCTTGCCATTCCACTTGTCCTGCTTGCTGGATAAACTCCACCATAAAACTGGATAAACTGGATAAACTCCATACAAAAAAGGGAGGAAACAAGTGAGGTTTTTCAGAATGCCTCCCTGCCTTGCTCCTGGAGAGAGCAGTGAGATGAAAGTCCTCGCTCTGAACATCTTATCTAAATTTTGAGCATCTGAAAACAGAACCATTTCCAACATTTTAATTTCATTTCATTTACATTCCACACAGCAGAGGCATCAAAAGTGACCTGATTTCTGCTTGTAAAGAAATCACTGTGCAATGTTTGCCTATTTAATCAACTGGTATTTTATTTTGAAGCAGAAGAGGAAATCTACTTCATGGTGAATAGAGGGCTTTTATTTTCCTCTTGATTCACCCCTTTGAGTCACATTCAGCACGATGGCATTGGTATGAAAACACACTGTCTCTGCCTTCTCAACCACGGCCACCGACAGAAACGTTTGGTCTGAGGGCACCACGACCCCTTAGGGAACACAGACCTTTTGGGACAGGGGTAAGAATTTAAAGGTGATTTCCTGAGGAGGTTTTAGTGAATCCCTGAGGCTCTCACCACTCGATACTGTTGTCTCACTTCTTCTAGCACATCCCCAAAGGTCTTGTTGGTCGGCGCGCGCTCGGCACCGAGGGAGGGCAGCAGGGTCAGGTTGCCGATGCTGAAAAATGGGGGCTCTGGACCACGGGGCAAGTCCTGGGTGGTGTTCTGGGAGAAGGAAGAAGTGCTTGTTAGACACACACAGGCATAACCAGTGTCTCCCTGATGAGTTACACCCCTGCTCTGGCTCTATGTCCCACACCACGGCTCGGACACATTTTAAGAATAATAAAGTGAGCGTAAAACCAAACTGGAGGATCTTGCTGTGCATGCAGGAGCAATCCCTGCAGGACATCAATCCCTGCAGGACACCCTCTTGCTGGCATCTCCTCAAACCCATCCACCAGAATATCCCAGGACTGCCCACCAGTCCTGCACATTCACATGGTCACACTGACCATGGACGTCGCCAGCGGAAACACAGCAGAGTTTTTTTTCCCTTTAGCTAAAAAAGCAGCAACTTCAGGCCATGCTGAAAGGTTGGAGGTACTTATCTCCCAAACCTTGAACTGAAAATCCCCTCGAATTTCTCAAGTGGTATGAGACCCCCATCACAGGAATTATTTTCATACCACATGAGTGTTTCTCAAGAGAAGAGAGGGTAGCAAGCATTTGGCCTCACTGAGGAACAAATATAGGATTTAAATGTCTCCAGCAGCATGTGGCCTGTAGAAAAGTTTGATTACCGTGGCAATAGCCCTTGCAAGTCCTCTGTAGAGCTGGATGTAGGCAGAGAGGGTGTGTGGCCCATAAATAGTCGATGCAGCCTCATATCGTTGAACCTGGGGAAGGACAAATTGGGAAAAGTAGACTTTGAGGGACTCTTGAGTGGTTCATACAGCCCATCCTACTGCACTAAGGCAAGACCAGCAGTATATCAGGGTTTATTTACTGCCAGGGAGACAGTCCAACAACTTGACAAAATATTTCTGCTGCAGTTTCAGGTGACTCTTCATTCTCCAACTCGTGGCAAACAGGGAGGACCTGTTTGCTCTCCCAGTTATCACAGATCGTACTCTTTTTAAAGGCTTATGATGCTTCAACTTTTTGGGCTGGACAACCCCAGTTCTTCCAAACTCCCCTCCCAGTTTAGGGTTTCTAAACCCAGGGAGTCAAACCAATGGCCCACATCTTCCTCAAAGCACAACATCTACTTTGCCTTGTGGAGGCTCAAAGCTGTGTCAGGCAACCAGCCTTTCCACAGCAACGGGGCACTGCAATCCATGGTCACCTCACAGCCCTCCTGCTCCAAATCTTCCAGCTTTTTGTGGCAAAGTGCTCTAAACTCACATAATTTCACACGAATTATCGCCCCACGCAACTAAAAGCTGAACTGGATTAAACATGTAAAATCCACAATTTTAACATTTACCTGGTATTCTTCATAGGTGGTGATGTAGTGGGTGTAGACATTGCACAGGCCTGCAATTACCACATTCATCCTTGGTGTCCCATGGGAATCAAATTCCTAAGAAAGGAAAGAAAACACTCACCTTGAAACAACTGCTTAATGCACAGATATACTGTTGTTATTACTATTGCTGTTATTATTATTCAATCAATATTGTTATTATTGTTATGGTGGCTGGTATATTATTATTACTATCATCATTATTATTATTATCATTATTCTCCTTTACCAGGATAGAATACAAAGTTACAGTGGGGAGAGGGCTGGATGCTCAGGAATTTAAACCTGCAAGTACAATTTGCCTTTATCAACATCTCATATCCACTTGCCAAAGAAAAGGGGGACACATGACCTCCCATTCCAGTAAATTAAATGTATTTGAGGGTTTTTTGGCTGTATACTCCTAAAAAATCGTGACATAACTGTGAGAAAGGATCAGTGAGTTGTAGACATTAGGATGGTGTTCAGGCTGCAGCCAAGGTGCACCAATCAAATGGAAAAAATACATTTGCCTTTTTTTGTTGTTTTTTTTTTTGCAATTGTTCTCATGTTGCAAAATCCTGGTAGGGATTAAGGGGATAAAAATTCTCCATCCCACAGACAAAAATCCTGCTAGCATCCTGCCTGGATCCCAGTGGAATTAGCTTGTGTTGGATTAATGGATTGAAACGCGATGGATTTGCTTCTTTTGGGGAGGATATTAATTTCTGCTGCATGTCAGAAGGCACATGCAAATTCTGTCTGAAGCAGCTGTGAGAAGGAAGCAGCTGTGAGACACGAGACTTGTGACCCCAGCTGGGAGGAGACAGGGGGAAAAGCAGAAGGCTCAGGAAATGTGAGGTTCCAGACGTGCTGCGCTCGGGAAAAACCTCTTCCTCTTACACTTCTGACAGCTTCCCTCAGCCTGCGGCCAGACATGGTCCTAGGGCATGAAGGGAACAACATCAGGCTCCAGAAATCATAAAATCTCAGAATCATTTTAGTTGGAAAAGCCCTCCAAGGTCACTGAGTCCCCCCTGTGCCCGATGCCCCCCTTGTCCCCCAGCCCAGAGCACTGAGTGCCACGGCCAGGCCTTCCTGGGACACCTCCAGGGATGGGCACTCCAAACCCCCCTGACCACCCTTTCCAACAAGAAATTCCTCCTCCTGTCCAACCTGAGCCTCCCCTGGCACAGCTGGAGGCCATTCCCTCTCCTCCTGTCCCTTGTTCCCTGGGAGCAGAGCCCGACCCCCCCCGGCTCCCCCCTCCTGTCAGGGAGCTGCAGAGAGCAGGGAGCTAAAGCAAGAACAGCTGGCTGGACTTGCAGCACCCCACCAGAAACTCCCTCAGCACCTCCAGCACTGCCCAGCATCCCTTAAGGCCCCTCTGAGATAACCAAAGCACCTCAGAAGATTTCTCACTCATCACCACAGCCAGGGTGAGGCTGGAGACACCCCAAGATGGGGCAGAAATAAAGGTGCTGGAGAAAAATCATTATCCTATTCAGACTCTCACCATTGTACCACCAACAGTCAGTGCAGTTCATTATCAAAAACCAAATCAAAGTTAACAAGTTCCTTTTGTTTCATTGAAACTGCATTTTGCCATGAAAATTTAAAATTATTTAGGAAGCCTGTTTTCACCTCGTTCATTCCCACAGTGAGTTTATACATAACCTTGGGGACAATTTTTATCCTTCTCCCCCTTTCTGCCTGCACACAGAACTATGGCAGGGGGGTTGAGTGAAATGCTGTTGGCTGCAATAAATTAATAAATGAATAAATTAGTCTCCTGAGGGAATACCCACGTGAACTCTCCGGGCACAGCCACGATTGCCAGCGACCCGATGGCAGCGACCTGCACGTCCACCACGTCCGGGTGCCACGGGTGGGGCCGGGTCATCTGAGGGGGGATAAAAAGGGGGTACAACAACTTCAGGATGGCAGGGGAAAAAAAAAAAATAGCTGGAGTGTTTTCCTTCCTCCAGTCATAAACCGGTTGGTAAGTTTATTTGTAAATTGAATTCAATTTGTTTGTAAAACACGTGAGAGGGTGTTTTAGTTCCACGGGTACAGGAAGTTGTCTGACCATCACAGTCACGCAGGGCACGTGGAAATAACTTTGTTTGGAGAAAACAAACAAACAGGGTGTTGCCAGAGGGATAACTTAAAGCAAAGTGGGTGAAATAAGGTCAGGGTAGCACCTATAAACCCCTCACCTGCACGGAAAAGGATAGAGATGGGATTGATAAGGTTGAACATCTGATCAGGGGAGCAAAAGCAGATGAGTGAAGTCAGAGATCCTGATGGTGATGGGAAATGAGAGCTCCCTCTTCATCAGGATCATGGAATGGTTTAGGTCAGAAGGGACCTTAAAGATCATCTCATCCCACCCCCTGCCATGAGCAGGGACACCTCCCACCAGCCCAGGTGGCTCCAAGCCCCGTCCAACCTGGCCTTGGACACTTCCAGGGATCCAGGGGCAGCCACAGCTTCTCTGGGCAACCTGTGCCAGGGCCTCCTCACCCTCCCAGGGAAGAATTCCTTCCTAATTTCTAGTCTAAACCTCCTATCAGTCTGAAGCCACTCCCCCTCATCCTGTCACTGCATGGTCTCACAGAGGGGGAGTTCCACCCCGAGGGGGAGTTTCTCCTAGAAAGTGATGATGCTCAGGGAACCCTCGACCTAACCCTGACTCCAAGCTGCCCCTTATCAGGGACTGTGCTCAGACTCAGCACCATTGCAGCAGCCAAAACACACACAGAGCAGCATTTCATCTGAAAACAACGGCAAAAAAACAGTTAGATAGAAATGGAAAAGCCAGTTAAAAGGAAATCAGGAACAAGAGCTCAAGGTTGGCACAGCTCCAGCAAATGAAATGCAAAATCCCACTGCAGCGAGCCAAAAAGAGGGGTTTTTTTTGAGGAATAATTTACTGGGGTCAAAGCATGAATGACAAAACCTCACATCAGAAGCAGGAGGTCTGCCAGAGCATCCATCAAATGTGATAAAGTTGTAAGAAAAAAGTGTAATTTCCTCTCAGTGACACAATTCTAGATGGAGGAGGCGGGTGGGAGGAGCTGGGACCTCTTTTTAGGGGAGATGAGGTGAGGAGCTGATTGAACACAAAGCGACAGAAGAAAAGCTTTTAAGGAGACTGGTGAAAGGAATAACAATCATCCAGATGGCATCCTCTAAGTGCTCTAAAGGACCTTGGACATGATCCCACTCCACTGCAGTGCATTTGTCTTAATGCCAAGGGAACATCAGGTGGGAAATGGGGCATCAATTTTCATTTAAAGCTGTAAGCAGGATTTTGGGAGGGCTCAGTAAGAACAAACACCGAGTCCTGCCCAGGATGGAGCAGCCCTGAGCCTGGGGATGGGCTGGGACCAACAGAGCAGTGGCTCTGCAGAGGCTGGCCCTAAGAAATAACCCTTCCCTGTGGATAGGGACCCATGTGCTGAGGGCTCTCCATCTTTGCTGACTGTCCCAGCTCTTCTGGACGTGGCCCTGAGCAACCTGCTGCAGCTGCAGTGTTGGTCCTGCTGGGAGCAGGATCATGCTGGGGAACCTCACTCCAGGGTACTTCCAGCCTGAGCCTGGTGTGACTCTGCCCATGGATGAGCAGGTCTGGCATCAGTCCATGTTGCAGCTCACAGAAGTATCAGACACTTGCACAAAAAAGCAGAGAAGCCAACAGGACACTTCCAGAGGAAGCCAACGCTCTGAAGAAACCTTGAAAGGCAACAGTGAGGAAGGTGGGCAAGTTGGTTCAGTCCCCAGAGTTTCCAAAGGGCACCACGATGAGCTGGTTCATTTTGCATGGACCAGCCTGTCCTGTGACAAGAGGAAAGGTCCCCCCATGGAATAAGGTAGGAAACAAATGGCAGGACAGAAGAAAGAAACACCCAGAGCTATTAAGATCTGAGCAGCCACAGAGGATGGGTGTCCTGGAGCCAGAGGCTGCTGGGAGGCAACGCTGAGCTCCACACACTGGTGGCTTTCCCTGACCTCAGGCATTTTCCCTGTGCATCCAGCTCAGGGCTATTCCACAGGCAGAGAATTAGGCCAGGGTAGATCTTCAGCTGGATTTTTTTGGCCCTGATGAGAGCAGGAAGTGTGGTCTCTCCTCCTGGGACACATGGAAAAGACGCTCTGAAAGAGGAAAACTTCCACCTCTCTCACTCTGATGCAAACTAATGCCAACACTTATTCTTGCTTTCTATTTTCATTCCCTCAGAGCCCCTGCAGCTCGTTCTCCCTCCGTGCTCTTCACCATGTGGGCTGGCACAGACAACTCCTGTAGCTCCCCAACAAATCTGTCAGGAATTTGGGTCTGTGAAGGATTGCTGATCCCAGCCCAGATCAGCAATCTCTGTACTTCCCAGGGCACACACCGGTGTGTCCTTACCTCTCCCGTGCTGAAGAGGATTGGCTTGGGTTTGTGGCAGGCTTTTGTTTCATTTGATGGCTCTCCCAGCAGCTGGTCCCGGATTTGATCCCAAAACGGGTCACCTTCTACTGCGCCTTGAGGGGGAAACACCTTTTAAACACTGTTCATCAGCTGCCCCAGCAGCTCTCAGACGGACACAACCCCTTCCCTGCTTGGGTGGGGTGGAATATTCCTCAGTGGATTCTGACCATCGCCCTTTCCTGGGGTGGTTTGAAAAGTTGAGCTTTAGCTCAGCTGAGCTCCACCTTGGCAGGCTTCAGGTAATGAGAAAACAAATGAGAAAGAGTGTCCCAAATCCAGGTCTTTCTTCTCCCCACTCCCCATCCAGTGCTCTCCTTCCTGCAGGGCATGGCCATACCCCCCTTCTCCAGAAGCTTTCTGACGCACACAGACAAACCTGCAAGGGGGCTGTGAGGTCACACCTTCCTAAAAACATCCCTCCAGGGATGTCAAGTGCCTCCAGGGAGTTCAATCTGCCTGGGGGATGCTCCCTGTTTGTCCAAAGCCACACCTGCTCCCCAGGTTACCTTGTGTGAAGTTGAAAGCGCCCACGCCATCGATGGTCCCTGCAGCAAAGCTGTGTCCTAGGGCTGGCTTACATGTTTTAACCTAAATCAGGGAGAAAAAAAAAGGAAAAAGGGATAAAAACCAGCTCCCCTCAGCGTGCCAGGTCCTGCTGTGGGACTCTGACCTTTCTTCCTGCCTGGTCCCCGTGTCCCAGGAGCTCCTGCTCTCACCGTGTGCGTGGCATTGAGCTCCACCGACACGTCACTCATGTTCACCCACTGGTGGGCCGAGCTCAGGGGCCCCGTGACCTCCTGGGAAGCCTTTTCATACAGCTCCTAAGGGACACACAAGGTGGAAATCCTTGAGGAAGAAGCAGTCAGGAAGCCAGCCCTGCTGAGGTACAGCCACACGGATTATTTCTTCATTCTGTTGATGCCTTCCCATTGCCTCTTCCAGGTGTATTTCCCAAGCTCACAAGGTGTTTCTATCACCTCATCTCTACACCCTGCTCGCCCTGAGCCCTGCAAGCTCTCCCTGTCTCAGGGAGGGAGGACACTCTGTGGTCAGCAGTTTTACACATGCCTTTCTTTCACAGCTGAAACAGGCACCTCTTTCACAAGGGTGGCAACTTCTTGTTCCTGGTGCCACCTTTTGGCATTTCTCACAGGTCAGACCAACCAGAAGGAGTGTTTCCTATGAGCAAGATGCCCTTTGCTGTATTCATTGCTCAGAAGTGCCTGGACTTTACCATGTATTTAGCACAGAGCTGACAGCTAAGCCAGGGAAAGGTTTGCCAGCCCATGTGCCTCGGGTTGGGACATAGAAAGTGCTGCCAGAAGTTGTACAGTTTAATGACATTCCTGGAAGGAATTGAGGGGACAGCCCTTGAAGGTCAGGAGTCCAAGGTGTTGAAAACAACTGCAGTGTTTCCCCTCTCTGTTCTATACACTCTGACTGGGACAGAGTGTCAAGTCACGATCAGCCTGGAGTGACTTCAGGGCAAGGATCTGAAATGGTGATTAAAGGAAACCAGCACCACCAAGCCTCCTGCTGGACACGTTCCAGTTCCTACAAGCTGCTGTCCCTGAAACATTGCCAAAAACTCTCCTTGCACTGACTACTCTCACATTACAGGAAGCCACAGGAGGGGAACCAGTAAAGTCAGGTGGCTTTTGAGCCCTCAGGTGACACAAGGGAGCCCATGGGATGGAGGACATGGGCTGAGTAAATGCAAAGCCAAACAGGGCAAGGTGAGTATCTTCCATGGGTGTTTAATCTGGCACATTTTAACTCACATTCATGTTAGTTTGGGAGTGTGATGCCTACAAGTGGTGTGTGGTGGTGTCTCTGAGCTCTTCCACCTCTGAGATGTGTGCGTGGGAGGGAGGGGGAGATGGCAAGGGGCAAGATCTACATTATATCCCTATGAGGAATACTGAGATTAAAACCCAAACTGACATTTTGAAATCACAACACCTACAACGATGTATCTAAATATGTGCTAATGTATCTAAGTGTGTGCTTTCTGTTCTAAATTTAGGTGTCTAGTCAGATATGTTATACCAGAAGATGTTTTTCACTACCATTGTGATTTCATACACTGCCCTAAGTTTAACAAATTCCAGGCTCTAAGATCTTCTGATGGCAATAGACAGGAAGATCAATAAAACCTTATTTACCCATTAAAAAAAATAATCAAGAAACTTTTCCTTAAGCATATAAATGTGGACTTTGGAGTAATTTACATCTACAAACATTCACAAAAGATAGATAGCATATTGAATATAAAATACCCCGAGCTGGAAGGGATCACTGAGCTGTTTAAATGAACGTGCATTCCTGTCATAACAAGCTCTCACACACGCTCGCAAAGCAAAATATCACTTACCTTTGCTTTTGAGTAGATATTTTGCCCTATAATCCTTGTGCTCTCAAACATATCACTCCCGGGGCCCTGGGCCATGCACATGGCTGCCTGTTGAGAAATTGGTTGAGATGGCAGCGATCAGTTCCCGTGGACAACACATGGCAGTGCCACGTGGAAGAGCTCACAAGGGCTCGTCCTGCTGTGGGAACTGACAGCCCCCTGCCAAAATTAGGCACTGGGTTACTGCACTGACCCGGGCAGCAAGGCAAACTGCAAGAAATAGGGTGTCTGAGGCCCAGCAGGTAGGACACACTCACCCCTCCGACGGGGCAGGAGCTCTGGGGGTTGTCGCACGACTCGCCCGTGTTGGCGCAGGTCGGGCCTCGGGTGTTGGGCGACACGTCTCCCAGGTTGGAGGAGGCGAAGGCGGCCACGAAAGAGCCCTGCCAAAACCCAGAGGTGGTCAGAGGGACTTTGGAGCCTCGCAGTGAGTGCAAACACCCGCTGAGGTTTCCCTGGAGCTGGTGAGCCCGCGGCGCTGCTGAACATTTCCAAAGCAACTGGGAGGACTGGAGGGGGGATTTATGTATATCCCAGGGGTTAGGAAGAGCAAGGGAGAACTGGACACCCAGGAAGCAACTGCCATTTCAGGGTGGCCTTCAGTCTGTTTTGGTATCCAGGCAGTGTTTCTCCATCTCCCTCTTGCGTCTCAGCGGCAGCTCTTCCCTCCACGTCCCCAGTTTCTCGTGTTACTGATCAGCTGCCAAGTGATCATTGTAGCACCTTGCACAGAATTATTTTTTTCCTGCCAGGCTTTCACCATGACTGATTTACAGGGTGAGAGCTATTGGATCTGCAGGAGTTAACATCAAGCAGTACTTGTCAGAAGCAAAGCTGGTTGCACACCGAGCACTGGCTGAATTCAGCTCTGGCAGAGATTTCATTTCCCACCCACTCCTTCGGAGTTGGGACATGTCAACACCAACTATTCTGATATATTATCATCTCTTAATTCATTTTCTTGTAAGGCTCCTAGACACAATGTGCCAAATATTGAATCCTGAAAACTGAATCCTGAATCCTGTCAACTTCCACTGCCTTGCACCCATAACGCTGCACTAAAGCTGAGTCTTGTTAAAAGCTTTGGGATAATCCACCACAAAAAGAAATACTTGCAAGCAGGAATTAGGAAGACTTACTCTAGTTTCCATTTTTTGCCATGAACCAACACGTGTTCTCAGAGTATTAAAAGAGAAACTGGGCAAGAGTTTCTAGGTACCTGCTGGAGATACACCCAGGACAGCCTCTTGATCAATTCGTGACACAAAGTGCCTGTGAGATGGGTTCGTGTCCACAGTAACATTTCAGAGGAAATAATGTTTTTAAAGGAGCTGTGTTTGCAGCCTGAGGATGGCAAATCTTCCAGGTAAATGCAAATCACAAGGCAGAACTGGCTGGAAGCCGTGAGAAAGAAGTGGGACTGAGCACAGGCTTGATGCCACCCCACAGATGCAATAAATGGATCCCTCTGGATCGAGTATCCCGCACATGTCTTGCTAGTATAGAATCCTGGAATGGTTTGGGTTGGAAGGGAACCTAAAGCTCATCCAGTTCCAACCCCCTGCCATGGGCAGGGACACCTTCCACTAGCCCAGGTTTTTCAGTGCCCCATCCAACCCGGCTTTGAACAGTGGCAGGGATGAAACAGCCACCACTTCTCCAATTTCCAACAGTCTAATCAAAACAAACGTGGTTTATTATTTAACTCTAAATAAATGCCACTAATTACTAGTTTGGAAAGTCAAGAAAACACCTTCCAATTTCTCTCCTCTAGAGGAAAAACATAATTAAATCACAAGCGTTCAGCTTTGTCCTCCTTTTCCTGCATTTATCCTTCGCTGTTTGAAAGAACCCACTTTGGCCCTTGCAAAGCACCAGTCACCCCCTCCGTGCTGCAGCCCTTTTCCACCCATTGTTTCCAGCAGTCTGAAAGCACTCCCACCTCTCCAGGGAGCATTCCCACCTCTCCAGGGAGCATTCCCACCTCTCCAGGGAGCATTCCCTTGTTCTTGTTCTGCTCGAACAGGTAGGACGCGTAGCCCACGTTGTCGCTGTTCACCAGGTGGTTTGTGTTGTTCATGCTGACAGGGTGCACAGCAAACCAGCTGGGGGGGAGGCACAGGACACTCATTGTTCAGGCTGTGTGTTGGCAGCTGACCTGTTCAATCTACACATTTGCAGTGGACCCATGGAATTTTCTTTGGGAGAACACAAACGCAGACTCCAGGCACTTAGGGATGGATTAACAAGGGCAGAGTATTCCCATCCTCTCCCAACCAGGAGGGTGCATGGCTATGATGGTCCAGGTCTTGAGGTCACAAGAATTTGGCAGTTCAGACCCGGACTGACTCTTTTACTAATCCAGAGGATTGTGTTCTGTAGGGGTTTTTTTATTTTCTTACTTCAAAGAAACAAGGAGGAGTCAATGATGTAAAAAAGGGGGGGGGGGAAAGGAACACCATTCTTAGAAAAAAGAATGAAGATATGAAGGAAAACCTGCTGCTTTGGTGGTCAGTACCTGATAAGGCCTAGATCTTCTCCATCCTCATCTACCATCTTCAGAATCACCATTTCTTTATCTGTGTTGGATGAATACCTGGATGAAAACAAAGCAGGGAAATCTCATTAGCACCAGAGCTGCAGTCACACTGTGCAGTGCTCTGACGTGTTAAATCTCCACTAGGTTGAACAGGGAAATAGAAAGGTTATGCCAGGTATTACCAGAGCACAGTGAGACCTTAGAGAAGCACCTGAAAACAGCTGTGAATGGAAGGGAAGAGTTATGGTTGTCCAGGGCGTGGAGAGAGCAACTCTCTCCAAATACAAATTCATGCACCAAGGATGGCACTTTAATGCCATCTGAATATATTTTTTTAATAAATAAAGCATAAGTTCACATCCTTAACCAAAGTCTCCCATGCTTGGAGAGCACAACTTTGAAGCCTGCTCTTGAAACTGCTGTTTGGGGACACACCCGGGAGCCCAGGGTGGCAACAGCATCATTCTGCCACATCTTGACTCCACATTTTCAACCCTCCCGTGAATGACCAGAAGCACCAACTGCCAGATGGCTGCTCATGGTCCCACCTGAAGGACTCTCTTCAGGGCTCTGTTTCCCTCCTGCTTGGGGAGCTTTTACCTGCTTCGCTCGGCTGCTGGGTTGGCGAGATAGGAGAAAGGGCTGCGGTTGATCTGGCTGTTTTCTACAGTGCCTCTGTTTATGAAAAGCCTTCCTCTCTTCATGTTCTCATGTGCTATGTCTATGCTCTGGAAAGCAGGAAGACAGGGAATATTAGTCCATGTCTGTAAGGCATGCATGAGATTATCTAGAAAAACCTCTCTCTTTCCCTTCCTATCTGTCCCCAACCCTTTCTTGGCAGTTTGAGGGTGCTTCTTTAATTATTTTTTTTTCCCTGAGCAGCCTAAAATTCTAGAAAACTATGATAATATTTTGCAGCTACTCGCAATTGTCTCTAAAGAAAGAATTTAAGGCTTTTTGATCTGGTTTCTCTGGTAGACATAAACCCCCCTCCAAGTGTGTTTGGGACTGCACCATTCAGAGGTGCTGCCACAACCATCACAGCAGGAGCTCTGTGAGTCACAGACAGGTCAAAGGGGGTGACACCAACCTTCACGATGCCATTCACGATCGAGTTGAGGGATGGCCTGATGAGCCCTTTGCTGGTGATCCAGAAGAGGGTGTACTGGAAGTACCCCCCTGGCCCCGAGTGCGTGTGGGTGCCGCTGAGGATGACGTTGTCCTGCCGGTACAGGTCACCGTACTTGCTCTTCAGTCTCTCCAGCACCTAAGAGGAGGGAGGTGGTCTTAAAAAGCTCTTTTTCGTGCCTAAAATCTATAGAGATTTGTGCCAGCCCTTGCAATAAACCCCAGCCATTCATCCTCCTCCTCCTCCTCGCTCCTCTCTTTCTGCCTGATGCTCCCGTGTTGGTGGCACAAGTAGGTTACGGTTGTTGACTTGGCAAGAGCCTCAAAATAATAAAATCTGGTAAGTGAAGACCTCCATGGATGACCTGAAGTGAATCCCAGATCATCCAAGGCGTCCACAGTTCTCGAGCATCCCCCCCTCTCCTCTGTGGTGCTGGAGACCCAACATTACACGGTCACCATGACCATGTATTCCTAATCCCAATGGACTCCTGATAATTTTTCTGCTAAGAGAAGCATGGGCAAAGTGCAGTCTCACTTTGTGAGGAATCAACAGCTCCTCTGCCTCAGAG